CGGTGTGGTTTACCTTCTGTTGATGCGCGAGCTGATGAAGTCGCGTCATCATTCATCACTACTTCACGTCAAGACGAGTTAACTTTTTTTTATCTCAACTTTGTGTGGAAAAAATGCGGGGATTATGCGGCCCTTTTGATAAATAATGCTGCCTTTTTAAAAATCTGCGCCTTTTGCCGATTATGGCGGTGAATTCTGCGACTCGCAGAATCTGCGTTTTTCTGGGAGGGTCTATTCAGAAAACCAGCATAGGTAACGCGTATTTTGCCGTTTGGCCACGTAAAGTTAAGTCGTGTGTTGTCTTTGCTTGACTTCGCTGCCTTCAACAAATGCCTTTCGAAAATGGTTCATTATCGTCAGTTAACTGAGTTTCTGTCCCATTAAGTGGGTATGACACATTAATTAGGTTGCCTGTTAAGCCCAAAGGCCCCTTCGCGGCGGTTCTTCTTTTTTTTTTCACGACCACTGTGGTCTCAGGGCATCTTAATATTTAACAATCTATTAATATGTTAATACCAGATTACAGGGAAGAATCTTTAACAGTAACGGACGATACAAACCATTTTTACCAAAACAAAACACAAGTCTCATAAGAAGCATTCTAAATGTTATCGCAGCTTCCGTTTTGGCTATGCGTCACTCTCACTCCTTATTTGATCATGTGTGTGTGTAGTGTGGGAGTTTCCCTCATTCCATTGGGCTCGACTGTTTAGAAAGAGATGTCAATCATCAAAATCCGACCAAGGGCGGGGCCAGATGGAAATCTCCACCCAAGTGTTATTTTTTTTGCTAAAATCTCTCTAAAAAGGCAATTGTCCACTATGTTTGCATCCAAACTTGATACCATGGTACTTATCTATATGTTGTAGTTTGGATTCCTAAAGCTTTTAGTCCTTCCATCATTCAAGGGTGTTTTTGTCACTTATAAGTCATTTTTTTATTTTTGGGACCTTGCCTCATTTGTTTTTTGGAGGTGTATGTTGAAATGATGGAAAAGCATTTCAGACGTAAGGTTGGAGTGATTTCATCTGCACATGCACCACCACCTTTTCACTTTCTCAGTTCTGTGGTGTTTTAAATTCTAGCCATGTCAGGTTGATGCTGTAAAATCCTGTCAACCAAGAGACTGTATTCACACAGCGCTGATGTATTTGGATGAGATTTTGATTGCAGGGGAAAAAGTGGTTCAAACTAAATTAGCAAAGAACGTTTTTCACAAATGTTGGCAGCCAGATAATAGATATAGGGTCCCTGTTGGCTATGCAGACAGTGGAAAGTGGATACAGTTATGGGGAAAGACAGCAGTGAACGTGTGAGTGAGTAGGTTCAGGGCTGGTGAGGCCACTGACTCTTTCAAGGTCAGATTTACAAATATTTATTATTTGACCTTAATCGAAATATTCGGCCTATTTTCAAAAGGCTTTTTTTAGTCTGATGCTTCGATTCATTTTAAACAGACCGTTCAACAAAAAGGATACCCAACATCTCAATATTTGGATTGTTATATTTCTTAGTAAGATCCCATTTTCATTCACAATTGTGGTCCTTACCTTCACACTTGAAGATGAAGGTCCATGCCTATCCTTCTGGACACACAATCTCTATTACTTTTTGTAAAAAGTCCTCCTTTATCTTCCTGTATTTTGAAAAAGTCTAGCTTGTTGTTCGTGTCTATCGTCTCTGCCGTAGGAATAACAGTAGCAACAAGAACCTGTGGGCTCATGTGCGCCCCCTTCAGTGCCGGCAGAGGTTATGGCTGCTCCCCTGGTGCTTTTTTCATTGCCGTTGTATGATGAGACCAGCGAGTCTAAATATCATCATATATACGTGAACAAAGTTATTTAGAGACTATGGATGGTGAGGATAAATGTAATAAAGGGATCTACAAACATTACATTGGTGACATACAGTGAGATGGTAACAGGCATGCGCTTAGTGCCCGCGCTCCAGCCAGTTTCTGTGGGGTGACGCATTCTGAGGTGAGGCAGAGCTTATCTGTGCCTCACCTCACCCCACAGTAACTGGCTTGAGCGCGCTCACAAAATAAGTGCCCGCGTTAAATTAGTGCCAGCGCTCCAGCAAATTACTATGGGCTTACGAGAGGCAGAGCTCGTCCCTGCCTCACTTCTCATCGCTACCCGTAGTTGTAGCGGAGCTTGGCAAATTTGCTGATTTTGACTTTAAAAAGCGATTGGAATCATACATAAAGCACATTTACAACACAGATCAGTGGAGACATTTTATTATTACTATTTAGTTTTTCTTTAGTTGTTTTTCCGTTACAATGGAGTATGACAGGTGAGGCTCTGCCTCCCCTGCCTCCCCTGACCGCACGTCGCTGGAAGACAGGTCTAACGGCAGAGCAGGATTGGGAAATGTGACCTAAATAGAGAATTGCTAATAGCATGGATAAAAGGATTTTAAATACAGGAATGAATAAAGCATAGAGGAATGTTACAATATTTCGGGATTCATCCTTGATGTCTCATGGCTCTAATCTAACAGGAGAGCAGGACACATTGAGTGTGAAGCAATATATTTCAGTTTGATATTTGTTCTCAAAAGAAAATTGAAGTATTATGCTGGTTTCAATAATTCATTGTTTTCATAGAAAACAAGTTTAGTATCATATTCGTTTTTACACAAACACTCAAAATAAAATCTGCATTATGAGTTTGTGAAGCTTCTCTAAACATGATTTTAACTGAAGAAAAAGACAACAAAGCCTCCAGTATTTTCATCGGTGCAAAATTGTTTTCTCAGATGTACCAAAACAGATATTGGAAAACACTTGGTGAACCTCACTTTGCTTCATGCTTCATTGTTCTTTGCCTCACATTTTCTTTATAAGAAAACCTTGTTTGTTATCATGAATACTTTATATTATACGTTTCCTTCATTAATTTCCTTACAGAATATAATGACACCTTATCATGCTATACTACAATAAGTACTTAAAATTGAGAATAAATAGGTCCAATCCTGATGACCCCTATTTGATAGACCAGGGGTTCCCAAACTTTTTCAGCATGAGACCCAAAACAGAAATGTTGTGGTCCTAAGGGACCCAAGCTAAAAAAATGTCATGATTTTTCATAATATCTACAGTTATAAACAAAGAATGCAACACACCATGAATTTAAAATGCAAATGAAAATATTTATTTAATTATAAAAGTGCATCGCAGCAATTAGGTTTCTCACCATAACAACCTTCCCTTTGAGCTTGCCCAGAAAAAATAAGGATCAAAGCAGAAAGACGAAACATGGGACGTGCAGTCAAGTATATACAGTACAAATTTCAATTATACAATTATCAAAAGTGCAATATTAAGTTTGTCGCTAGCTCAAAAACTATGTACACACCATTTTAAACTTTAAATTTTAAATGAACAAAGAACAAACATGTTGTAAACAGAAAGGGACAAAACACTAACTGAAGTGCAGTCAAGTGTATTCAGTACATCACAGGTGAAACCAAATTTAAATGATCAGAAGTGCAACATTAAGTTTGTCACTAGATCAAAAACTATGAACACACATTTTTTAAACACTTTTAAATGAATAGATCTGTTTTAAAACACTCTGAGAGACAAAGAAACTCCAACACTTGGCAACTGATTAACTTGTGGAGGCTGACTTGATATGATGCCCTCAGTACCCCTCTGTTCCCTTTGAATGCCTGAAAATAACAGAGAAGATATTATCATTAACATTGCTGGGTTATTGGGTGATTTTTAATACCAGCCGGCGTACGCTGTATACCCAATGTGGACCTGGCAACCGCATTTATAGCGCATTACATTACATGTTACTTGTTAGACGCTTTTATCCAAAGCGACTACATACTCAATGCTGTGGGGAATCCCCACGGAGGGATTTTGACTGGGTCGTTGCACAAAAGACCCAAGCGCGCACAGAAGAAATCTGAGAGCAGACATTTCACGAGCGCACAGAAACAGCCTGAGTGAGTAGTATTATTCATCCCGCTTCAATCTCATTAGTATGCATAGAAAGTGACAGGTGCTGTGACAGGTCACACCTCTACCTACTTATGCTAATGAGCTAAGTCCCGCCTCCCCTTTGTTCGAGGTGTGAGATCTCAAGTAGGTGTGAGATCNGTGTGCCTTGGCAGTTTATTTGTTGTCTTCTACCAGGTATGGAGTCTGCTGGTATCCATGAGACTGCCTACAACAGCATCATGAAGTGTGACATTGACATCCGTAAGGACCTGTACGCCAACAATGTGCTGTCCGGTGGTACCACTATGTACCCTGGTATTGCTGACCGTATGCAGAAGGAGATTACAGCTCTGGCCCCAAGCACCATGAAGATTAAGGTGAGCGAACTTCAAAGATTTTACATCAATGATTTCATCAATGAAGTTTTTAAACATTCAATAACACTCAAATGATGTCTATTCCTTTTCTAGATCATTGCTCCCCCTGAGAGGAAGTACTCCGTCTGGATCGGTGGCTCCATCCTGGCTTCCCTGTCCACCTTCCAGCAGATGTGGATCAGCAAGCAGGAGTACGATGAGGCAGGCCCCTCCATTGTCCACAGGAAATGCTTCTAAACACACATCCAACCTCCTTCCGTCCATGAATTTGTACGTTTTTGTCTCTTGTATATATGTTGTTGTTTTAATGTAATAAAGAAAAGCCCTTGTAAGAGTTTCACCTGTACTGTGCTCGCTTACAGCAATGCCAAATGACAAAAAGAATAAGTGACACTTTATGTATACTGGGATATTTCTACATAAACCACAGGCTATTATTATAATACATGCCTCACATAATGTAGGCTTGTATGCAGGCAACTATATAATCAAGAGTTTGCTAAGATATGGATGATGATGCTTCCACCTAGTGGTTGAAGACAAAAGTGAACATTATTTTTTACTTCAGAAGCTTAACAAGTACTGACATTGGCATACTATCCTAGTTAACCCGGATTACTTATTTTTTTCAATAATTACTTTAGATAAAAATATAAAGATCGAGTTGATACAGGCATTAACAATGTGTGGTTTTGTGCAATACAGTCTTTTATCAGGTTTTACACATAGGTTTTACATCACAGCTTACGTTTTAAGTACTTTATTCATTTCATTCTGTTTAAGAATGCTACATTTTGTGAAAAAATGTACTACCAAATGCTGTCAACAGAGGCTTTTACGACCCAAATATTTAAATACCAATAATCATTGTACCTTGAATGCATAAACAATTCACCAAAGTAGTCCGAACTTAATCAGACATGGTCGTTTGTCTGTTAAAATAATATGAACTATGATCTTAGTAAGTGTAGTACAATCTCACTTTTGTGCATAAACCATTTAAAGATGCGACTAGTTTTAGTTACAGAGACAACCGGTTGACAAAAAGCGTCCATTTGAAGATTGATTTGGTCTAGTGGAAACTGCCCGCCCACCGAGGCTGCCCTGGCAGATAAAACTAACGCCCAGGACAATGTTATTCGAAACGTTACCAGCCAATCACAGCGTGAAGCGTAGGAAGCGCTGCTGTTTGAAAACTCTGCGAAAGAAGACAGCCTGCCAGCAACCGATATGACGAGCGAATCATAGCACAATGCAGTTAGCTAGCTGACGAATTGAATTGATGTCAATCATAACATTCGTTTAAGAAGAGGTAAACACCATTTGTAAGTTGTGTGACCCCGAGGAGAGATTTAGTTTTTGTTTGTTCGAGGCTTGGCAATAAGCTAATGTACCTTGCTAAAGTTACTAGCTGGCTAATGTTAGCTAGCTAACTGCATTGCAACAGAAGCACGAAGCTGGCCATTACGTGGTCATGCAGCGTTAGTTAAGTTAACATCTTTTTGGGACTGGAAACCTTGTAGTTGTTACTGCTGAGGTTACAGGCCGACGGTTTTAAAGATTAAGCGTCTTGTGAGCAGTTAAGATCCACGTGAGGATGACTTAACGATAGAGGTTTAAAGAAAGTGATACACTTAGAGAAACAGAAGCGATACAGCTGCGGAAGTCAGTTAGGTTCTGTCAGTAGTAAACGAATTGTTTCAAAGTTCGTTTGAAGTAAAAGAAAGGAGTGTAAAATGAAAGTCATGGAGAAAAATATGATGCGGCTAGTGGCTGTGCAACACCTCCGCGCAGCGTACGGGATAAAGACAAAAAACTGGAACAAAAACAAAGCAGTCAGCTGTAAGACTGCAGCCAGCAACTCGGTAAGTTTAACTAAAAGCTATGTTCAATGTACAGCATCATTTACTTGTGTTACATTTGCAGTGAAACTTTCAACTTGACAATCTGTTCGTTCAGACCACAAATAAACAACAGCATCAGCCTTGGACATGATATTGTTTTGGCAATTGAATCTAATTAGCATATTATTGAAAGCTGGTGGGACCCATTTGTTCGCAGGCCGTTGTCACTCATGTCAGTCGGTGCTCAGGCTTTGTTTGGCTGTTTTCTGCTTTATTCACTCCATACACTTCTTTACCAGTCAGAGAAAGCCAAGTCTAACAATACACAAAGGGCGATGTTTTCCCATAAATCTTTATGCCACATAGTTGTGATGGATCTGTAACTATTTCGTCAAAGGATACTAACTTATGGGACACCCCTTTTTGAACTTAAAGGCGGTTAGCCTGGTTTTAAAAATATCTCTGAAAGCTCTGCTCGGTTTTTGTTTTCTTAACTTGTTTTTCTGGCTCTGATGAGTCACAAGGTTGGATGTAAGAGACTATTCAGACGAATACTGACCTTCACCATTTACAGGGATTGCTTGAGAAATGTAGCAATACAAACAAGTGCCAAAAACTTTATCTAAGACTATCAAGAAATCAGGAACTGATGTAGTGTTATACTTCTTCTCTGAACAACACATAGAACAACACCTTATGTTATCATAAATCAACTAAGAATAAGTATTGTGTGGCAGTGAAATCCCTGTCCCTCGTAGTATTTTACTCATTATGGTAAAAAAAAAAAAACTGTTCAACATTTTGTTGTAGGAAAGTACATGAGGGATTTGATGCTGCTGATAGAACATTGAGCAGTTAACATCGTTTTATTCATTGCGTTATTTTTTGTATTCACAGACAAAGGTGTTCGGGGTCTCCCTGGAGACATTACCGTACTATAATATGGAATGTGGGACCGTGCCAAGGCAAGTGGATCATTTTTACATTTACTTGAGCCTACAGGCAGCAAGTTATATCTTGTCCAATATTCTAAATTTTGCATTTTTTCACTGCATTTTCAGATTTCTGGTTGACGCATGTATGATGCTGCTGGCGCACGTGGACACAGAGGGCCTGTTCAGAAAGTCGGGCTCTGTCATCCGCCTGAAAGCACTCAGGGTGAGTGATAACTGAATTGACCTTGCATTCACTCAGGAGCCTTGACCCGGAGAAAGGTCTAACACGACAGATGTGTTTTGTCCGTCCAGGCTAAACTGGATGCGGGCGAGGAGTGTCTGTCCACGGCTCTGCCCTGTGACATAGCCGGCCTGGTGAAGCAGTTCTTTAGGGAGCTGCCGGAGCCCGTGCTCCCCTCAGAGCTAGAGGAGGCCTTCCTCAAGGCCCAGCAGCTCCCCACCGAGCTGGACAGGACCTCCGCCACCATGCTGCTGTCTTCTGTACTGCCCGAGAAAAACCTCAGCACTCTGCGTCACTTTTTGGACTTCCTCCACAATGTGTCTATGAGGTGCCAGAATTATATTAATTTATTTGCGCCAGTTGACCATTAAATTCAGTTTTACAATCGGCCGTTTCACCCTTGTCTTCATATTTACATGACTGTTCTTTTGTGCTTAATCCCAGGAGTGCAGAGAATAAGATGGATAGCAGTAACTTGTCTGTAATCCTGGCCCCCAACATCCTTCACTCGGGAGACGGTACAGAGAAAATGAACGCTCACACGGAGAAACGCCTCAAGCAACAGGCAGCCATCGTGCACTGCTTCATAGAGAACGCGCACAACTTTGGTACGACCTGAGGCATGTTACCTGCAGCTCGTCTTTATGGCAGCCAACACTGTAATGTTTTAACAGTAAATACTTTGCTGTGTCCACAGGAGTGTTACCACAGTTTTTGCTTGAGAAAGTACCGGCCATGATGGGCTGTGAGGGGGGGGTCCTGTCACCTTCTCATGATGGACTTGAGGAGCTGGACTTAAACTCGGGGATGAAGAAGAAACTCAGGCGCAGCTTTGGAGGTAAGATGTACCATCAGGCTTTTCTTTTGTTTTTAATGATAGCTGCAGTATGCAAAGATTTAAATCAAATATGGCATTGGCCCGATACATTTCACACGGGACATTTGCAGTGAACTGGAGCTCCGTATCTCAGTAACTGTAAACGTATCTTGTTATTTTGAAGCAGATTTTTAGTCAGTAAATACTGTTCATATGGTTCGGTTTGTCTCGTATTTCAGATATGGTCAATGGTGCTCTGAATAAGATAAAAACTAATAGAACACCCACAAATTCCAACCAGTCAGACAGTCTTGGTAGGTACTCAGGTCGAAGGAAATAAGGTGCATGATGCTACTGGAGCAATCTATCTGCAACGCACAAGAACAAAACATGCTTTCTGCAAATGTTTCGCCTTGATATCGAATGATGAGTCATGTCAATTATGCTTTTTTCTAAATGGCTTTTGTTTTTCTTTGCCTATTTGCATGGTTAATCTTCGGTAAAATTCAGTCAACAACTGCTTATTCCTCCAAGTGCCTTGTCTCACAATCGTCTTGGGAATGTTCATAAATACAAAGGAAAAAAATCAAATCTTTAAAAAAAACAATTCTTCACATTTGAAGGTATTAACTCTCCTTTTGTGATTTTTTTTCTTTTTTTTTGCCAGTCTTTTCTTCTGCCACTCCAGTGATTGCAACACCGAGCTCAAAGAGAAAGCTTCCTCTGGAATCTGGTCACTCTTTTGGATTCTCAAACAAGAAACGTAGGTCTGTCAAAAAGACCCTGGGGATAGACTTACTCCCCAACCCTTTGTTCAGCGCCACTTCCACTCCTGGATCAGGTATTGAGGATTGTTTGATGAAATGGGAACCAACAATTCTGCTCTCCGTGCAGCATGGGGTTTAACATATTTGTTTTTCCTTTTTTTTTAAATTATATTGTAGCTTACAGTGCTTCTGGAGTCTTGGACTCTCCCAACAATCCGTCGTCAGCAGGGAAGTCTAGAAGGCAGCCCGCTGTCTCTGTGAGGAGGAAGAGCCGACGAATCAGCAACAGACATGCTGTCAACAGGTACTGACTAGTCACCTGTTATGGCTCGCGATGATGTTTCTAAGGGACGATAGAACTGCTGGGTCCTTTACCAAAAAAACAACTAGTAATGCAATGGTTATTGCAATTTCTACTTGCAAAGAAGTACCAAGTATAAGCAGGTCAAAGTAGTTAAAGCAGAAAAAGTAATCCGTAAGTAAAATGGCTATTTTCACAGTATTATATAATTACATAATTGTATAATGACCTTTTTGTATGAAGTGCATTATTTACTTCTGAAATCTAATGAAGTATAAAGTAGCAGAAAATGGAAATACTCAAGTGAAGTGTGTCAAAGTAGTACTTATGAACATTACTTGAGTTAATGTACCTGGGTTCATTCCAAAATGCCCTCGCATTACATTTAATAAACAAAATGTTAGACAATTGGATGCCACAAAATGCATTGCCCTCTTTAAGCCTATTGTATGCTGAATATCCTATGAATCCTTTTCAGAGTTGAATCTGGAAGAGCTGGCTGCTTCTCTCCTAAAGTCAGCAAAAAAGAAGGTCCAAGAAAATCTCTGCGGCTGCGCTTCAACCTGGGGAAAAGCAGCAAGGAGGCTGTAAGTGTGGTACCACAACAGGCTTCACCTTCCCCTCATGTGGCTACAAGTTAGAGGGCCAACATGTATGATAATCAAATGCATTCAGGCATACTGCCCCGATGAACTGTATTAAAATCAAGTAACATTTGCACATCGGGTCGTTTTTAAATGGGTAAAGTGTTGCACGTTTGCACTTTTTTTTTTTTTTATTGTGTAACAATCTAAGCTTACTCTCAGTAACTAACACATTTTAAACTAATGCACACTTTAAAAATGTTTTTAAAAAGTTCTTATATCTGTAATGTTGTAAAATAACTTATGTTCATGCTTGTGTGGTACAAAGCCATAGGATATGTCCTGTGATTTACAATGTTAAGCACTCAGGTGAAAGAATGTTATTAAACACTATAGCACAAATAATAATCTATTGTAACCTGTTACGGGATACATGGGTCAGCTGTTTACAATGCCTAGCTTCTCTAATGCATGCAGTCACATGTGAATTCCTGACTTAATAAAAAGTTGATGACCAACTTGTTGTTTCTTCTGAGTGACTTTTATCATCCTCTGAAGAACTAACCACTACAACCATTGAATTAACACATTAATGGGCAACATCTGTGGGTTCCTTTTTAACAAAATAATATACTAAAGCTCCCTCCTCCCTGTTTCTTTCATTTTTCATTTCATGGTGGTGTTCAAGGTGTCAGAGTCCGTTGGCTGGCGACTTGCCACGCAGGAGAGCACCACCAGCTTCCGTTTCACCGAAGAGACAGAGTTCAGTCCAGCTGCTCTGCCTAGAAAAGCAGAATCAAAAAGTGAGTACCGTATGCAGAAATCTAATAATAAGAATAACATTATTCTACTGCAATGTTCTGTAGTCTTTAAGTTATAGTATTTAATATCCCACTTTGTTGTACAGGCACCAAGTTCATCAGTAAGTCTGAAGACAACCTGCTGACCCCCGCATGTGACTCAAGTGTCCACCAGACCTCATGGAGCAGGGAGACCCCTGGAGGAGCGCAGTCTTTCAGGGGAGGGTCCTTCACCGACACCCCCATGAACATGTGCCTGAAGAACAACTACAACTCTGAGCCGGCCATCGTGGTGTCGAAGCCCCCAGCAGTGTCCGTCTTCCCAAAGAAGCTCTGCTGTGCTTCCAGCGCTGAGAGCCTCCTTGAGAGCGAGATCTTTTTCACGGAAAGCCAAACTGCTCCCACCCTGCTGAAAATACAGAAGGCTTTCACCAAGTCCGGGAGTGACCTCCAGCGTCCCTGCACCTCTGTGGGGACAGACACAACAAAAACACTTGACAGCCTCTTCCCCCCACCAGAGACCCCCCCAGCCAAAGTCCTTCCCGTGGACACGTGTGCCTCAAGCTTCCCAGCCCAGCAGAGCTTCCTGGCTTACGATCAAAACATCACCTTTGGCCAGCTTGAAATGGCTGCCTTATCCCCTTTGCATATTGACAGTGTTCTTTTTGAGTGTGGTGTGTACCGTACTCCAGCAGCACAGGCTGACGCAGGGTCTTTCTGCGCCGCTGCCATCAGTAGCCTCAACAGCTCCACGGTGGGGGAAAGTGATGCGGAGGTAGAGCTGGTGAACTGCAGCCGGCTGGTGGACGCCCTGGACATCCAGAGTCCGGCCCACTTCAAACTGTGCGTCCCCTCCCGGCAACAGTCCACTCCGTACAGGCTGGGCCTTGAATTCAGAGATGAGTTCAGTACCCCGCCTAAGATTGGTACTAAACTCCGTGCGGTAAAAAACAAATGTTCCTCAGAATGCGGTGCCGAAAAACAGCAACCCCTCTCCCCGCGCAGCCTGGAGACCGAAAAGCGCCGGGTGGTGGACCACATCCATCACTTCAACAAGCTCACCCTTCTCTCCCCCAAAGGGGCCTTGGCCAAACTCGTCAGATCACCCCTCCAGTTCAAGCGCACCCCCGTACGACAGACCGTGCGCAGGATGAACTCTCTGCTGGGGGACAGCCAGAACGGCCCGATCATGAAGGCAGTGAGCCTGGAAAGCGGCCTCTCCCCTCACCCCCAGCTCCAGCTTCACCTGGGGGAGGGAAAACTGTCCAACAGCGTGTGTCACATAAAGAAACCCCCCCCAGTCCCGCCCAAAAAGCCAAGCACCCTGGCACGTAAAGCCAAGGTGTGCCCTCTGGCCGACTTGACCAACAAGTTCCAGCCAAAGACCAACGTGGACAGCTCTGACCAATCAGGAGCTCAGAAGCCTCTGGGGCAGCAGGTAGTGGAGAAGGACATGAGCCATTACAGAGGGTCCCCCAGAAACCCCCTGAACCAAGTACGCCTGATGTCAGCCACCAAGCCTATAGATTTATAGTTGTTTTTTTTTGCCTTTTTTGTTTCCTCCATACTCTGCAGGTCTCTGTCAGCTACGTGACATTAAACATTCCCGCTTATATTCATATTTTCAGGGGTTTTAATTTATTTTTGTAGCTATGGTAGGTGATGTTTGTATTGTGATAGGGTCTTATTGGGAGAATGTTAATTTGCCTTGTGTTTGTTTTACTCTAGTAAAGCAAGTATTACAATATCGACATATCAGCTGACAGCGTTATGCTGTGTAGTTAGACTGTAGTGTGCAAGCCAAATTATGTGTAATGCGATTGATGGTATGACTGGAAATGTTTTGATCAATGTAATGCTTTTTTATTTATGCATTTGATATCTAATCCTTAGGTAGATTTCTTAAAAAACAAAACTGTTTACAGAAGTTTAAGCTGTTTTTTTTTTTATTTACAGAATATATTCGTAATGTCTCATCTTGAACTGAAAAAGAAAAAAATGCACCTTTTTGTTGGGTTTTCACAAAAAAAAAAGCCAATCAGTATTGATCTATCGCAGTCCATTAATTACAAAACCAGCTAAATGCTTTGCTATGTGAAGTGCTACAGAACAAATAAATTCAAACGGCATAAACCTTAAGGGTTTTACAGTTGAATTATTCTGGTTTGCCTTAACAGTCAGTACTTGTTTGCGCCACAAGGGGGAGTCATGCAACCACTGCCTAAACAACAGTTCACTGACATGTTAGTGAAGCATGTTATTGGTAAAGGCTTAGGAATTTACTCTTTAAAAATCTCGACTATATCCTGATATAACAGCATAATATCTCAAATAAATTTGGTTATGGTACATTTCAGAAGATTACTGGCGTCACAGATGCATTAATGTAATACAAATATATATATATATTTTTTTCTCAGTGTAAATTCAGGTTTCTGATTGCATGGATCTAGTTCAATGACATGTGTTGACATGTAAGAGGTGAAAGGCCTACATCTTTTTACTCCTGTAAAGAATCTGCAGAGTAGACGGTGAAGTGTCGAGGTCAAAATCATTGCTTCCGATTTATTCTCCACAGCCCGATGGAGGGTTCGGGTGATTTTCAGTTGCAGACTGAACTTGGAAAAAATTATGTTAAAAACGTTACTTTCTGCAGCAGCATATTACTGTTATCTCTGCAGTGATGGCAGAGCAATTTCCCTTAATATTGGTCTGTTCTGCACCTTCGGGCGGTGCGTCATGAAGCATATTGGTATGACAGATCACGCAGTTGGGCCGAGGCCATGTGTTCTGCAGATTAATGTTCACCTTTCTGTAACATGAAATAATGCTGGAACAAACTATTCGTTAGATAGTTATGGTATACAGATAAATACACGTTTGATGACTGGCATACATATTCTAGGTTTAAAACCAACGACAGTGTGGGTGCTGGAGTTTATTTTCAACAATAAAAGGGCTAATTGTGACTTAGTTACACTTAATGTATTATATGTATATATAGCAGTGATATGCCTTTTTAAAGCTTTATGTATTGTATCATATTTCACATGGCAACATCAACGTTTCTCCTAATAATGGCTGTTAGTAAAGCATTAGAAAAACCTTTTAATATCCAACCAAAATGCATTAGTAATTAGTAGCAATGTATAAAGTTAAGACAATTCCTTTTTAAATTAAAAGTATACGGCTAAAACTTTTGATAACTTTGATTTTAAAACTCTAAAACGTGATTTATGATAACGCGTTGCTTGGTGGCCTTTTTTGGTCATGTAAAATAAAACGTAGTTTTGGGACTAAAATAAACTGAATCAACTTAAAGGACCTGTCTATCTACTATGATAGCGTTTCTAAAATTCACAATCTTAGTGAAAAAGCCTACTGTTTGGCTCAATTATATTCCTGGTATTCAGTAACATTAAAATAATGATATATCGAGAATGTACACTGTACAGGTGTTTTGTAATATGAGTCAGACAGTCGACATTTCTTATTGATTCTATCCCTAGATTGCATTCGTAATTTACGAGAGGACCGTGAACGCCTACATTTGGGTTTAAAGTGTGACATATTATGGTATTATCATCATGTTCCTTCTGATCAAATAAAAAAAAATCACCAGTTCTACTTTTTTTCTCCATGTGCGCATAAACGTTCCGGCCTGTCTGCTCTCGGCTTGTCTCCCCCCTCCCTGCTCTCGCTGTTCCTCGGTTGTCTGTTTTCTTGAAGTGGGTTCAGGGAAGTGTTGAGGGGGCGGATAGTTTTGATTTTCTCTACATCGTGCTTAGCCAATAATGTAGAGGGAACTGTTGTGCACATCTCAGCTGGCAGACATTTAAAAGGGAGACAGTCCGGCGCTGGAGCAATTTGTATTAAACCCCCTGGCCCCTGTCTATGGAGCGCTCAGTCTCCCACCCATCCACAGCCCCACCAGTGTACGGCCGACAGCAGTAGGTGCCTATCACATCGCAGGGTGCCGCGAGAGGACTGACAGGATCACACCATCGCACTTGTAGCAGTGGAGACTCGCGCAGGTGAGTTAAATTCGGACTGTTTATGACTACAACACTCAAGAACGGTCTTCATCCATCTTTAAACTTTGTTTGGTTCCTTGCTTTTAGAAATTACAAAACGCCATGCTTGTTCTCCACTGGTATGCATGTATATGTTCAGCTTTTTATTAAACGTCTTAAAGTTTTTGCTTTGGTTAGATCTGGTGGCATTACTTTGCATAATAGCCTAATAAAGTATTGGGCCAAGGTAAACATTATATTTGTTAGTCAAATACTTAGATATTCTTGTAGTTTATTTTTTATTTTTTAGGGAAAAAGCTGTCAGCGCGTTTTTACGCAGCGTAAAAGTTTTGACAGCTGTGCGTAACGCATCCAAAGTTGAAACGGCATAGGTGATGAATTATTTTCCTCTTCTCCCAAAGGATGGCCAACTCAACGCGTATCTTCTGCAGTATGGTTTTCATCATGGGGTTGCTCTCCTCGCCCGTGGAATCCAAAAGAAACCGAGGTTCACAAGGCGCCATTCCTCATCCTGACAAAAGCAACCCAAACGAATCGGAGCAGCAACCGCAGACTCCGCAGGCGGGCTCCGGCTCCCGGCAGAGGCAGGGCTCATCCTCCCCGGCCGACGAGGTGCTGGAGTCCAGCCAGGAAGCGTTACACGTGACGGAGCGCCAGTATTTGAAACGGGACTGGTGCAAGACGCAGCCCCTGAAGCAGACCATCCACGAGGAGGGCTGCGTCAGCCGCACCATCATCAACCGCTTCTGCTACGGGCAGTGCAACTCCTTCTACATACCCAGGCACATCCGCAGGGAGGAGGGTGCCTTCCAGTCCTGCTCGTTTTGCAAGCCGAAGCGTTTTACCACCATGACTTTTACTTTGAATTGTCCCGACCAGCAGCCACCCACCAAGAAGAAACGCATCCAGCGCGTCAAACAGTGCCGCTGTATATCCATAGACCTGGACTAAAGACAAGGCTTGGGTGTGTGTGTGTGTGTTTCATATCCCTCGCGGACAGGATTGTTGGTAGAAAAAAAAGGTTGTCACATAGCCAAGAACACATGCCTGTCTCCACTTGGAGGATGCATTCACGAACGCTTCGTACATGTAGGCTACAGTCTCTTCTTGCATAACGTGTGAACAAATATGGACATGCAACTTATAGACCATCGAGCATTTTACTCCTCACCAGTTTGAAAACAAGCATCACTGCACAGGAACGCTGAATTGGAATGGGCACGTTTTACGCACGGCTTCCTCCCCCCGAGAGGACTGCATAACCCCGGGTTATTTAATATAGAAACGCTTGCTGTGACAGGAAATGTACAATTTTGTATTTTAATGTGCATAATGTGTTTGCTGAACTGGACGTTTCCACTGTGTGGAATTTGATGTATGAGCGAGGATATTTGTAAATGGAAAATGTGATTTTTATTTCGATGTTACAAGAATGTCTGAAGGTAAATTGATTTCTGTGAATTTCCAAGTCCATTGGTAAAGTTTTTTTTTTTTTTTAAAGTTGGATTCCTATCTTTTAGAGATGATAGGCTTATTAGCCAGACGCTGTTCAGTGATGGGTAATCCAGTATCGAGATTAAATAGTTGTCAATGTAAAGGCATCCTTGATGTAACCGGTTTGTTTATCCCTTTGATTAAATTATCCATGAAAATATAAAATAAACGGATGTTCTAATATTGTGTATATCATCTGTGACTGTACACTTGATATAGATTAGGAAGGTGTTAAAATGTTAAATGATGGCCTCATCTGCTGCTCTCTGGCATGGAGCCAGCATCTCAGACTTAAAAAACATTTAATTGTAAAAGCAGTCCGTTTAAGGAAAAAAATGGGGTTACGTTTTCCAATTATTACTTTGAATTATGTTATTTTACTTCACTGTATTTTGTTATATGGCTCGCAAATCTGTCGCAGGACTGAAACGACGGAATGTATGAAGGATGAGGAATTTTTCCTTCATTTAGGAAAAGCTTTTGGTATTTAGATAATCCATTATTCTTCAGGCATCCATTTTAAATACAACCATTATTATACATGGTCCAAACCCTTAATCTTTAGGAGGTTTTTTGGTGTTTAAATAAAACATTGGCATGAGCTGGATGTGCCACAGGTGTTAATCTAGTCAGAGCTAAAACAGTCAATAATCAACAGTTTGTTTATTAGAATCTCTTGGTGATTTATTGATCCTTGTTGGATGAATATAATGCAATTCTTACATTACAAATGTAGTTTTTGAAATGACTGTAAATTACTGAAAACGAATTAACCTCGAGTAAACAATGCATCACTTTATTTTAGGAGTCTTACCGGAACATGTTTCGAAGTCTAAATCTGAGGCCTGATTGAATAACTTTATTTTGACTCACAGCCTGGCTGAATTATGAATCATCAGATTCTCTTTGATGACGCAGGTTTCTCACATTAATTTCACATCTGCTTGGTGCACTGCGGGCCTAATGAAGTGTCGACAGAAGAACATTTAGAGAAGTTGGTCCAGTTTGTTCGGCATCCAGTACTTTAATCTCGAAATTTAAAACAATTCCAGAAAATTACAGAGCACGTATGGGAGCTACTGAGGGTTACATACATACATACAGTAGAGGCTACAGCAGTTCCTTTGTCAGCATCAGCTTTTTCTTTTTAAACATAGCATTTCATGAAATATCTATTTTTTTACAAAATAAATGGCACAGGTGAAAGACTTAGGAGGGTACAAATAGTAATTCAAGGTGCAATTTTATGGATTCTCTGATAATAGAAGTCTGTCTGAGATATAGCAACTTGCATGGCTTTAGGTGATGTACTAAAATGTTCTCAATACCCCAAAATACAATCCTCATCTCTCCAAAACTAAAGAGAAAAGGCAAATCTCCACCGACATTCAACATCTCGGGCACAACATCCATGGGAAAATATATCTTTCTTCTGATTTAACTACGCAGCTTCTCAGCCAATTACAACTCATACAAATACAGCCTCGAAGGGACCAACGCTGATGCCTTTTGGCAGAAAATAAATCTTTCCTTACATAAATAGATTTTTCTTGAATGACACAGGAGTGTGGTTACATCTTAAATTTCAGATAACAAAAATATACACTTGCCATAGACTTTCTCAGAAAAAAATAAATCGAACACGTTTAAATCATAAAGCCGTAAAATTCATAAAACTTCTAACAAGGAAAGCGTACCCTTGCATAGGAAAAGAGGTGCAAAAAAAGTGCTGGACATCTGAAAAATGCACGCAGTTAGCATAACCAGGGGAGTGTAGCTAATAGCGAGCTACAACATACAGCTACAGCAAGCAGTAAAGTGCGTAAAGGTGACACTCAATGAAGGACAAACAATTTATATTTAATATCTGTGATGAGTGGGTGAATGGCAAAATGTTGTTTTCTTCTGATGTTTTTGAAGTACCTCTGTGTGTGTTTGAGGGCCCCTTCTCTGGCCCCACCAAGGAGATGTCAGTCTGGTGCAGTGCTACACGAAACAGTGAAACCTCCACAATTTGTGTGCACACACACATTTATACACAACATGTCTTAATCTGCTCATAAAGCCTGGCGCGAATCATTCATCATCCTCCTGCTGCTGCATGGGCCCTGCAGATTCTACAACATGACCTATTTACAAATACTTTTAATGAGCCATGGGGAATGAAAAGCTAGGAACACTAGCATTTTTTACCGTTTCCAGACACAGATTTCTAGTTTGTCAATGGGGATTTTCCTTTTCAGGCAGCCGTATGTGCACCGTCTTTGAAAAATGTAGCAGCGTTATCACTCTGCTCTCTTACGTCAGAAACAAATGGTTTCTCAGCTCTTGTAGATCCAGAAGGAACCTCTTGGATGGGTCAGCTGTGAATCCCACTGACCCCTTGAGACCTTTCACAAGCTGGGCACTCGGAGGTCGCGCCCTGCCGGATGAATGAGATCGATCTTTGGCCTTTATGACTCATCACTTGGGCTGTGGCAGCCATGCATCGGAGGGTAGGGTGGGGATGTGTGGGTGTTAGTAAACAGAGAACCGCAGTAGTTGTCCGGCGAGGTTTTTTTGTGAGTCTGTAGAGAGAGTGAAGAGCAGACCGCTGTTGTTGAAGCAGGTGGAAAACACACACAATGAGGCCTTCTGATCTACGATCTTCTCCTACCACTCCTTGTTTCTTCTTCTGCTGTGATTTCACTCAGCTGGAAGACACGCCAGCCTCCTTCTGCCGCAGCCTCTCTTTCTGTTGGCAAGAACCATAAACAATATTCAGTATGTACTTCATCGTGGACACAAGTAAGAGCAGCTCTCAGGAAATTCCATCTCTGTGCTGTATGTAGATCAGTTCTCACCAGACTGTTGGCATTGATCTTCTTGGTTTCCACTCTCTTCTCCGCTGTGATCTTCTTGATGTTTTCCTGAGCTTCCTTTAACCTATGGGGAAAAAGAAAGTCCTTGACTTAACATTTACAGAACCTTTAAAACTCTGCGCACACAATGAAAGCTTTGAATAAAGCCCTGAAATTGTGTGTAACTTGGAAAACATTACACATGCTGGACCCTCTCATCACTGTGTCCCTGTGAAGCTGTAAGTAAGGGCAAGACATTTAAGTATCTCCCTGGGGCCACGCACGCACACACACAAACAAACACACACACTGATACTGTCAGGAGTTTGCGGTCAGTGAAAGCCCCGTAAGCCAGTAAGCCAGAGTACAGAATGACAGTGGGTTGATGAGATAATGAGGCAGCCTTTAAAAAACACTTGGCTTTTATGAGTGTGCAACAGTATTTAAAATAAAGTTAATTGTACATAAGCACGATCAGCTGTGAGTAATGAGAGACACAATTACCTAGTAAACAATTAAGAGAGAGCACACGGCGGGCCTGAGAAATCTCCATCTCAAAGATACCGCTCGGTTTAGACAGAATCTCCTGGAGGACACTAAAGGTAAGATTTATGATCTGACAGAGCCATGGAGGCACTACATGATACTCCAAACCCTGAAAGAGCATGCAGTAAGTAATGAAAAGCTTCACTCCTGCCCTTTGGGCTGCATGTCCAGCATCATTACAGTGTTTATCAGTTCCCCCATAACGCTTGCTAGTAAAGCTAGGCGGCTGCAAGGAGGGTCTGCTGTCCTTTGGTTGGAATGCCCCCCCACCCCCAACCCGACTTGAAGCCTCAGGTCAGAGGAAACATCATAAATTCAGGCCCCCGTTCTTCAGGGTGAGGGTCGAGGCCTCAGCTCCTCCAGTTTGATGGCCTTCCTCTCTTCTGTGATTCAGAATCTGCACATCGCCTTGTACAATTAGTGCTAATTTGGTGTGATGCGTAGAGGTCGTTAAGCACCCATCTGAAGGTGACAGAGGCAAGGAGTCCGATGCGAAGATGAGATGGTTCAGCCTCAGTTTGGTAGGGGTGTGTTCTGCAGAGAGGTCAATCCACTGATAGAAAAACTAGATGTTTCACACTAAGCTTTAAATGTGATGTTACATTAAAACCCCTTTATTTGATTTAAAATGAATAAACGATTTGCACTAACCTCCTCCTGCAAATCAAAATACATTAAATGCTGCGCTTCTAAACGCAACTGGGAAGCCAGGAATGAGTCACCTGAGAACAGTTATTTCAACTGGACTCAACTGGCTGTTTACGCAGCAGAGAGGAGAGGACAAGAGAGGTTGTAAATAACGGTAATAAAAATGGAAATAGTTCAGTATGTTAAGTATGTGGAGCCTCAATTTCTTTTTTTCTCAACTATTGCTAACACTTGTGGCCACTAGAAAAAATATTGTATATATAGATAACATTTTAAAAAACATTTATAGATTATTAAATTATCAAAGCAATTCCACAAAGTTTAAACTGTGTTCAAAAAAATGCTGTCATTTCTTTAGTGCTGCACAAAAGCCATTTTTAAGGTCACCCTATTTCTAGCAATGATTTCCAAACTGGACTTGCAACAGTGAGTAAAATGTGACAGGACCAAAGAAAAGTTCAGTTAGAGGGTAAACATTTTTTCTGTCTCTTTCCACCAGATCTTACATTTCCCATCATGCACATTTGTAACACAGGCTTAATGTTTAAAGTGTGAAGAATCTGTGACAACTCTGAGGAATGTAAGTACATGTAATCATGTGACTTGAAACAAAACATTTCCAACTCACTTCTCCTTGGAGATGTTCTTGTTTTGTCGTGTCCAGGCGTTCTTGAAGTCGTTGCAAAACTCGTACCAAAGCATAAAAACTAAATTCGGGGCCACGTCTTTCTCTCCGGACTTTGGCTTCACCCCAAAGTAGCTCACTGTGTCCTGGAAACTGCATTAGGAAAACAGAACAGAGGCACAAATGGTGTCATCTTTATCATACACATACACTTACAGAATAATCTCAGACATAAATGTGCCAGGAATTATGTTACATTAAAAGCTTTAAAGAGGAAACTGAGGGGTTTAAGTCCAACAAACACAGACAAATGGAGGGTAAGAAGGGTCAATTTCAGGCACAGCGCATAGAAAAAGATGGATGTGGAGTCAGACAGAGAGGCGAGAAACAGAGCTGGAGGAGAGTCTCCACCCTGCTGGGCCACTGGGGAGAGGCAGTAGCGGCGGCTCCATTATCACATTGACCTCCACAGCCTGCAGGGGAACACTGCCAGAGGATAGGGAGACAGCCAAGAACAGACTGCTGCTCTTCACACACACATACACACAGTCACAGCTCCTAGAACAAACTTGCTGGCAGTCTATCAAAGATGTCAATATGATACGAGCTCACAAAAACATCAGATCTGTGTGAATAAACACATTTTCTGCTCCTCAGCCTAATTCAATTGTAACCAAATCTGAACTCTTCACAAAGCTCCCATCAGTACACACAAGGCATGAAAAGCAGCCGGCTGCTTCAGATTCCCTCCCCAACCCAAACATAAAATAAATGTTCTTGCCATGCCTGTCAAAAGGGGTCGATAAAAGGCGGCTATGATTCAAGGGATGCTCCCGGTCCCATTGACACCCAGATAGGCTCTGACCTCCAGATGCTAGGTGGCTTTTTGCAATGCTAATCTAAGAAACGTTCATGCGGAGGGAAATGGTACAATATGCTGCCCAGACGATGAAAAATGTGGCTTCTGCTTCCCATTTCCCAGTGATGCGCCATTTTGCTTGGATGCTCAAAAAACCGCAGTAGATCATCTTGTACGCTACAGAAGAAATCAGAGTCTCTGGGATGTTTAGATGGACCAAACAGACCTTTCTTCCTAGGTAGCTTTGTTGTAGCCAGGTCTGCTTTGGCATCATGAACACAGTCTCTTCTCCGACATGACCCTGGGTCATCATGTCAGAGCGTTCACAAATCAAGCAACAGCGCCTTTTCCCTTCTACCCTCTCAAGCACACGCAAGAGGCAGATACACAAGGGCTTCACTCAAAACAGATGCAACCACACTCACACACGCGAGTACACCTACCAAACATAAACAAAATCAGGCCTTTGTTAATTTGCGAGCGCGGAACAATTAAACTTGCACACACACTTCTGAAACCCATGCTATGATGCCATTGCCGTGAGAGGGTTTACTGCAGCACCCACAGCCGGCATTCCTCACTGACAGCTATAAAAAAAGACCCATTACAAAACCATGAGCAGCCGTGAGAATCAGGGAAATATTTGGACAGGCAACTCTGCATTCCTTTGTTTCCCCAGTAAAACGATTACAGAAGTAAACTCTGTGTTGTTGGCTGATCCAGCAGAGGCACTAAGCCGCTTTGTGCCATCGTCAGAAACGCAGTAGAATAACTTACGAGCTAGCGTCTATGAAACCATAACTGCCTGGTGGCTGTGGAAGAGGCCGTTGGGCCAAATGAAATTGAGCATGATGTGGGAGAAGGAAGCTTAATGAGACGGAACTGAGGACAGAACCAGAAAACCTCAGTGAACCCAAACATCAAGCAGGCAAATTAGAACTGCATGTTGGGAGGAAAGGCATCGTAACTCACTATGGATTGGCCAAATCCACATTTTTTACAAGAATGTCAGATTAGAATTACATCTAAATGAATTAACTTCGTACCACACTGTACACACAATTACACCAAGCTTAAAGATATGTTGGACTGGTAATGCTGCACCATAATTTAATATTATTTTAAATATTTGTATATAATCCAATTGAACATGATTAACTTTTTAGGAATTTTAATAATTATGATGGGAATTTATTTACAGTTATTCAATATGTATGTAGGTCTCCTGGCTACAAAATGTTGTCAGACAGAAGGGTGTCGCCCTGAGGCAATTATCATATGGATGTTTAGGGCTTGTAATTAACATGCTGCACTTCCCCTTCTGTCTGCCCCCCCACCCAACTTAGGACTGTAATGTGGATTGCCTTCCTTCCTGTGTCTCATCTGTATAAATGACATTGCTTTTCTGTGTAACGGGGTCAGATCCTGGTACTATCTACTAGTGCAGGACCTCTGGCCTTTCCAGCTAGAAATATGATTGATTCTGTTAAATGCTAGAACTCTTTATTAAATAATACGACTTTGGTTAAAGCTTGTATATTTGTTATTTTCTAACCAGAATGTGTGGCCACAAGTGGCCAATTTTGTGTGGCACAAATTGTGCCACAATAACATAATGGAAAAAAAAGAGCATGGCTAAAGAGCCCTGCTATAAGATCTGTAAGTTCATAAACAGCAGTGCTTTTAGCTTAATGCTAACGCTTACATGAAAACATGCTGCTAATGACGATGCTAACATGCTGACGTATAGCAGGTGTGTTTACCATTTCCACATCTTAGTTTAGCATGTTAGCGTGCTAAAATTAGCTAGTCATTCAACTTGCAGGTCTTTTTTTTATACAGTATAGGAAAGTACTGGGCAGATTTAAATGTTGACCTAATAATGGCACAAGATCGTCAAATGTATTACATTTCACCCATTGGGAAACATAGATGTGTTTACAAAATGTCACGCCAATTCATAGTAATAGTCCAACAGTTTTAGATTTTCATCTGTGTACTAATGTAGTGGTCTGACCTCCATATTGCCACACTTCTAGCATGGTTGAAACAAAGATAGGGACTATATACTGTACGTTTGATACTGTTGGCTATATGATACCAGAGTTTCGATACCAGGGGTAACTTGAAAAAAGGTTACAGTTAAACAAATGGTCAATGTATCAATATATATAAAAAAAATGGATAATCAAAATCTAAATGTCTATGCTATTGATCAAAGCCATTTGTATTCATTATTTTTCTATAATCAATAATGAAATAATTGGTAGTTGCATTCTTGCTGTAGACACCCATACTTTGTGGTACTCTCCTGATGCTGATTCGTTTGCCCAGTCCCTCTCACTGGTGGCTTACTTTCACTGGCAGCCGTCTAAACTCACTGACTCCTCATGATACAGAGGTATTAGGTAGCACTGAGGATGTGTTGTCTATTTCCTTTATTAACACCATAATGGAGCGGCCACTGTGAGGATCCCTCATCCAGCGCAGATGTGAGAGCCCACCCAGGGCCCGGTGAGCCCGCTGACGCCCGTATTCATCAACAGCGTGTCACTTTTACGAGGTGGCTCTGTGGGAACCTGAGAAAGAGCCCCCCCTCCCTCCCGCTCTACCTAACGCCAGTCAGCCAGCCCCCTCTTTAGATGAAATTAAAGACAAACTTCATTAAAGGCAAAAGGTGCTGTCAGCTGCGGGGCCTGTTTGATCAATATTCCCCTCCAAGTCACACACACACACACAGGTATTAAATTAAAAAAAAAACATTATATTAGGTTAATTTACGAAAAATGCGCTGTAAAATTATTAATACTACCCTTAAATAAAGATGTCAATAAGTATACATACATCCGGGGAGCCGATGTTTTACCAGGTCTGTCTTCCCACAGCCGGGGACTGGGATAACAGTCCGGTAATAGGTATACCTGAGCAAATTCCCGGAACATTAATTGACGACGTGAAGGGGAAGGGACAGACGGGGGGGTGAGTTAAATCCTGACATTACAACCTAACGGGAAGGAAGGACATAGAGTTAGACATATTTCTGTAACGGAAAAGACACATTGTCCCAGGTCTAGGACCATGATAGATGGATCACGTCCTGGAGACGGAAAGGGGTCGATCTTTATACTAACCTAAGACAATTTACGATCTTGAGGAAATAATTTATTATGCTGAAAACAATTTCCGAACATAGAAAAATAAAAGATTGGTCTTAGCACACCGGTGTTGCACGGTAAAACACACGTGTTTAACACGGGTGTTATTGTATTACCTTTTTTTTCTCGAGTACCGAATTTCTCGGACGATTTCTAGACATTCAAGTATTTGTCGTACGAAAATAGAATTACGGATTGCGAATGTACTTTTGTACGACGATTAGCTGCTACGATTGTAGCGACTGCATATCGTCCACACAAATGGTAAAGGTGTAGAATCAAATCGTACAATCGCACGATTTTAATCGATCAGTAAGTTGAACGTCCAGAAAAAAAATATGTCATATCCTTTCATGACCCGTCTAAATTTACAACTGGATTATTACCGTGTTCTAGCAGTTTACATAATGTAAAGTGGGTAACCCTTTGTATCTACACAAATGTTTTACAGTGCGGTTAAGTATCATTATCAGGTTGTCAAAATCTAAAAGTAGACACATGATTACATCACCAGACTGGAGGTATAACGGTGTGAAGATCGTACCAACTTTGTTTCTATCCCTGATATATGACATGCAAACTATGACAACCGATATACTATGGTCTCAAAGCTATGGTCCCCATTGAACTTTTTTCCAATGTCAATTTGTTTACCAGTTACATAGTTATATATATTTTTTTTACCTATTAGTTTTAGATTTACAGATACGATAACTAGTTTCGGTAAACATAAGTAATAAAAAGATATTAGTTATTACTTTATTAACCATCAACGTAAGAACGACATCTGTGGGTATGAAACACCATGAGAGGACTACGACTAAGCAAACGGGTCAGGGAGAGTGACCACCGAATGAAAGTGACCGTCGGCAGATTTGAGTGACTGAGGAGTACTATGTCTCCATAATCCATCGTGACTCCTACACAACAGATAAAGGAAATAATTGTGGTATTACCTCGCCGGTGACACTCCTAGGGAGTAGGTCGCGTCTACACTCTCGGGTGGGTCCCGGGCCACTCGGGCGACTGCGGGCATAAGTAGTTGTCGCACAGTGAAAATGCTCCACCGAGACACCCTTGGACTCTTTCTCGGGGGGGAGGGAGGGCGAGATGGATTGCGGTCAGTCGGTCGGGGGAGAAATCTAC